AATCTGCAAATATCAAATATATGTAAATTTTATTTTCAGGCTTGTGGTTCGAAAGGACTGCCAGGGCCTCCAGGATTAAATGGACAGCAAGGACGAAAAGGGGACAGGGGACCACCAGGAAGAGAGGGACCAAGGGGAGAGCAAGGCCCGACAGGTGGGCCTGGGATTCAAGGTCCCCCAGGTGAACAAGGAGAAATCGGAGGTGCAGGGGAGGCCGGCGATAAAGGACCGGTAGGTATAAGGGGGCAGGATATGGCAGCAGGATAGAAGCGACAGGCTGTGTGGAATTTTTCAGAGATGTCGAAACTGTCCATCTCGGTGAAATCAGTTCTCTCTCTTATTTTGATTGTTTTTGCTTGCACCAAGCTATAAATGATATGTCCCTCCTATCATCCTGCAAATTTATAGGCTTGAATTTGCAGTCGATGCCTTAAAAGAATTTGCCTACAAATTGAGGAATAAAAAATTTAAGTCTTATGCTGACATTATTAAGCAAAAAAAAATTTTCTTCGAACCTTACCGATTTTGAAATAGAAATGAAAAATATAGCATTGTTCATCGAGTACTGTAATATCACAGTTTGATTTTACAAAAATTTCTTGAACTGTCAATCCCAACCAAAAGACTATTATAAAATTCAAAAAATTCATAACTATTGTGAGCCGACAATGAATTGTTCAGTCTCAAAGATAAATCGCAGTGATATGAATCAGAAACTAATCAATTCTCATTTCAAAAAATATTAATTAGTGGAACGGTTTCCTCGAATGCAACAAAATTCATCATCAAAAGAATATTGGCGGTATCTGTGAAATCTAAATTTTTTATGCGATGATTTAGAGTGAACGGAAGATTGAACAATCCTGAAGGATGGATGAAATGACAGGTTTTGAACCATTGAGAAACATAGGCGGTTTGGAGATTTGTCAGTTCCGGCATCCGCAGGTCGATCCCTTCAAAACTTCTGAAATTCTTTGGATTATTGAACACCAATCTATTTTTTTTGACAACTTAGCTTAACGCTTCCGGACAAACGAACAGTGTATTTTGGTGTAGAAAGTAGTGAAAATTTTGATAATCTTCAGCGGCTGTGCCTTATATGCAAAAACGCATATTTACGCTCATCGAAGGGTTCAAAATTCCATTCAGGTTTTTAAATATACAAATTTTGCAACATAATGGAAGACTATAAAATTCAAAACATTGATAGAAACCAGAAAAAAAAGCGATGTCACTGGGAAGAATATCTCTGATCGTTTCTACTATTGAAAAATCTTTTCATTCTTAGTGTGCTCGGCAGATTTTTACATCGGCAATCTCACCGGACATATTTCATTCCTGAAACTCTCGATTTTGACTGTTCATTATGACCTGAACTTCCAACAAGACCAAGCTATTTTCGGGATGGCAATGAGTAATCCCATTTTCACTACAATGATCCGGTCATACTCCTAAATCATTTTTATTTCCCGGAAGTTCAAAACAAACTTTTTTCCTTGAATTTTTCTTCGGAATTCACTATCAACGGTCAATCTTCATTTGAAATCAAAAACGTTCGTTCGACTTGCATGGATACCGTTAAAAATCATTTAATGTTGTGTTTTGTTCCATTTCGTATAATAATTTCACAACGAATTCTTGAAATTTGCTTTGTTTTACGAATTATAGAATAATTCATATCAGATATTTTACTCTCAAATATAAACAGAAAATTTGTCTTCCAAATTCGCTTCATTAGGTTTCAATTTAAACCTTCAAATTCTCCTCTCACATATCAGATGGAATTTTTATATTCTATTCAATTAATTACAATTTATTTCATATACCACATATATTTGTATAAGAAGCATGATTTGCTTGAAGAATTGTATACGATAAACAGTGAAAAACTATGCAAAGATTTTTAATCCTTTTTATAAATACTTTTTTGATATTTTAAAATACCTCTTCATTTCACAAAATGTCAACAAATTAAAATTTTTAAGGAAAATTTGGAAAATTTTAACCACTGTTTACAAAACAGTTTCAGATTTTAAATGCATTATTTCAATATATTTCTACCGGCTATCTGCACTGTTTTAACTGTTCAAGTAAGTTTTCTGCTGAATTTTGTTATAAACGATATAATTTGAAGCATTTTTTGCAAAGCATTTCCATGTTTGATTTTCAGGCATGCCTTTCATCGCCTGGACCGCCGGGACCACCGGGACCGGATGGAAAGGATGGGGCGAAGGGAGATCCGGGAATACCAGGAATTGCGGGGCCTCGAGGATTGGAAGGACCGGTTGGATTGCAAGGACCGG